AGGTGATGGCTGGCAGCGAGAAGGCAGCCGCACTGCGCTTGCGGGAACCCTTCCAGCTGAGCCAACTGAAGATCCACTATGCCCTGGGATTCGAGGGCATCAACGGATGGATGCATCAGTCGGTGGACGGTGAGATCCAAAACTCCATACGCAAGGCTGTGGCGCATCTGAAGACCCTCGGCCTGGACGTGCAGCGCGCCAAGCTGCCAGATCTCCGCAACTCCATGGAGATGGCGCTGGCCGGGATTGCGAACATGCACCAGATGGACTACCTGCTGGAGGCCGAGCCGACCGAGGGGTCGAGCAAAGTGCGCGAGACTCTGGGCGAACTGCTGCGGAGCACACGCGGCCAGTCGAGTTACACAACCAACGCCCTGATCTTTGAACTGATGCGCCGCTGCCAGGCCTTCATGAGGCGCCCTCAAATGGAGCAATACCTCGCAGAGTCGAAGGCGCTCATTGGAGAGTTCAGCGTAAGTGGCCAATTAGCGTGTCAATGCAATGTCCGATGGAGTATAATGCCACTTCTGATCCAACATACAGACTTTTCTGGGCGAGAACGGAGTACTGCTGTTCCCCACCATGAGCTCGCCGGCAGCCAGGCACAAGTGGACAGTTTTGCCGCTGTGGGGCATCGACTACACCCTGATCTTTAACGTTCTCGGCCTGCCGGTCACGCATGTGCCAATCGGATTGAATAAGCAAGGCCTGCCCATCGGATTCTCTGTGATTGCGGCGCCCCATCAGGATCGTTTGTGCCTGCACCTGGCAGTGGAGTTGGAGAGGGCCTTTGGCGGTTGGCAACCACCCACTCCACACGAGTTTGATGATTAAATGAACGTTTGAGGCCTGAAACACAGGCTTGGCGTGTCTGTCCCTTTGCTGGATGTGCTTGTACCCATGTACCCATGAGACTGAGCATGATCACAGTCCGATGGGTGCCACTTGAAGTGTGTTGTGAATGCTTTTAATTTGAATTAAAGTCTCCAATACTAGTTTTATTGGAGCAGGCTCTGAATCTGATGCGTTTGCTCACGCCTGCGGTGCTGAATCTATCCATGCAGCAGGATGTCAATATACCAACGGATACGCCCGTATGCAGCGAGGATGAGAGCTTGAGCTACCCCTGTCCCGGTCCGCCACTGACCAGGACGGGACAAGAGTCAATGCGACAATTTTTAAAGAAATATTTTATTTATGTACAATATTGACGAGGAAGTGTGTGTGCCGACCACTCATCTATATACATATTTATGTGGTCTAGTGGAATAAGTCAAGTCGTTCTATCCAGGGTCCCTCGGCTCAAACGCTGGGCTGCATTACCTTTTTTTTCTAAAGAAATTCTTTTTATTTGCGCCACTTTGGAATAAATGCTGCATTATGCACAGCAAAATCAAGCAAAGCGTGGTTCGGTGGATTAAGTCGAGACCTTCCGATCCGGGGGTCCTCGGTTCGAAGCGTGCACGGACTCTTCTTTTTTTTTTTTCTTAAACAAATCTTTTTTTCCACAGTTTTACAGTAAAAATTACATTTAAAATTGTTTTGATTTTTTTTAAATTTAGCTGGCATTAATTAAATATTTAACGGTAAAAATTTAAGAAGAGCGTATTTATTTTTTGTTTTTTCCCTATTAAAATGTTGAAAATATACCATATGAAAATTACAAAAATTTTACTTGAAAGACAGAAAAAAAATTTCAAATTTTACATGTATTTTACACAATTTTACATAGATTATTACATTGATAATTACATCACCACAAGTTGCGAAAAAAACACGCTAGTGTTTTGAACCAATCGTAGTTAAATTTGGCGGCTAGATGGCGTTTGTGACGTTCCTATTTTCACAAAATAGAGGGCGCCACTACACAAAGAAATTGCAGATTTGTCGAATTTGAAATATATCAACTATCAAATATGGCAATTAACTGGAAAATTATTTAATATTATCGTTTAATATTATTTAACTTTAAAGATATTTCTCGTAAAACTAAATTTTCCGATGGATTCTCTTATTCCCCCTCTAGCTGTGATCTTGATGGAGTTTTCGCAACACGAGAGGTTCCACTGCTTGGCAGTTGGCATTAGTCTGCCAAATCCTTTTCGGTTGACAATCCGTCAACACCTCAATTTCCACGAGTTTTCTTGCGGCTGTCAATCACGGCAACTGGAGGAGGAGACGGCGACGGAGACACTTACCAGAACCCGCCAAATATGGCTTAAATGCAGAATTGCCGTTACCTAAATTGCAGTCGCCCGTCGCCAGGAATTCACCAGTTGTTTTGGTGTCTCAGCGGCTGTGTGTGGGGCCGAGAATGCATCAAGTCGGGTTGACTGTTAATTGAATTAGAGACTCGCCGCCGTTGCCACCGCTGCAGTCGCCACGCGAAGTTGACAACGGCATGGCTGTCTTAAAGTCTGCATTCTGCATGCGATGACAATGACCCTCGAGCGGTAGCCGGGAGGAGCAGTCCATTAGTTTTTGAATCGCGTGCTCCAGACCTCAAACCTCGAGACGAGCTTTTCCCAAGCCAAGCCAAAGGTTTTTCCTGGCTTTGCATGGCGATGCCAGTTCGTCACTCAAGCGCGATTACCGCCGCGTCCCACTCACCTGTCTGTCACATTGGTTGCGCATGCGCGGTGCCCAGCGTATGACGTGGCACTAACAGAGACCTTAGGAAAAGGCCGCCACCGCCGCCGCCGCCGCCGACAGAGCGAGCGGTGAAATTGCTGGACGGACATGCGTGGAATGGCTAAAAACGAATGGTTCGGTACGAGTATATATGTCATATCACAACGGGTGGGGGGTGTGCCGCAGGAGCAGGGAGCAACTAGCAGGCGTCGCCACTTTCAAATTCCTCATTAGATCGAGCGGCGCTGCTAATTATCGTGGGCCCCATGGAGGTGTGCCCCGATTTTCGCTCCCCACCAAATTGCTGCCTCATGGCAGCCAGCAGCCCCATAATTGCAGCCTCCACGGGGTCTGGGGCCCTGGGCAATTTTCAACTTATCGAGGTTATCCTCCGCTGCACAGCGATCACTTGACCAGCAACAGCACCAGTTGAATCCGGGGGTTCCCCCCCCTCCCTTTTTTTTTTTTTTTTTTTTTTCCCCCCCCCCCCCCCCCCCCCCCCCCCCCCCCCCCCCCCCCCCCCCCCCCCCCCCCCCCCCCCCCCCCCCCCCCCCCCCCCCCCCCCCCCCCCCCCCCCCCCCCCCCCCCCCCCCCCCCCCCCCCCCCCCCCCCCCCCCCCCCCCCCCCCCCCCCCCCCCCCCCCCCCCCCCCGCAAGCAAACCAAGAAAAGAAATAATAAATTAAAAAAAAAATCGGCTTAAGAATAACCAAATGATTTTTAAAAATCCATTTTTATTTATTTAAAATATTAACATTATTTTTTTCGAATTTTTTATTGGTTCTTTATATTGTAAATACAATTGAATCTCAATTTTCGCTCATTTTGGAAATTTATACTGAATAATAGTTTCCAGTTTTAGTTTCACCAATATACCATCCAACAAGCTGCCCTGCCGAGAAAGTCCCAACAAGGACTTGGGTGTCGCTAGGCTCGCGTAAAGTTAGAGTTGACCATGTTCCCCTCTGATATGGTTTTTTGTAGATCCTCACCCGGCATGATCCTCATGATCCATGCTGGCATTTTTTGACGGATCATCAGCCACCAAATACATATCTTATCTAACTTTAAATTGAGCTGCTAAGCATTCCTAAAATGTTATCTTCAGGACATGATGAAAATATGGCATTAGTTGGGCCAATTATCTGACATAAGTCAGACCAGATATTGATGGTAATTGGTAGAATTATTTAGTCATGTAAATGTGATAATTTGATGGTGTTGCAAGCGGATAGGCAAATAGGTTACACCCTTTCTGAGGGTATCACGCCATTTTGATGCACATGAACACTTTGAGGTTCGACACGCGAAAATAAATCAATTACTAAAAAGAATGCCACTCATTCACTTCCGAACTATTGGCAAAATATTTATAGACCCGCGAAGTATAAATAGAAACAGGCAAAGCAATCAAAAAATCCAAATAGAAAAGCTACGAAAAAAGAATGAAATCTACATAAAAGGATAAATACACTTTGATTGAGGCAAATAAAACAAAACGAAACGAAAATAATGAGAGAATGTGCATCGCTGTCGACGCGGACTAGTGTTAATTGCTCTGATAAATGGACGGCACGGTAATTTCGCAACTTCGGGACTGTGGCAGCGACATGGATGCCATGCCGCTTCCTCGAGCACCGCGCTGCTCGGAGATCTCGATCAACCTTGATGTTGATTAATAGGTGCCGCTCTGCTTGCCGCATCTATTTCGGTGCCGTCTCGCTGCCTGCCATTCCCGTCGTCCCTGTGCATCTCTCTATCCGTTTTGCTCAGGGTCCACGTACCATGGCATGGCATGCCAATTGTCTTGCGCCGGTCCTTCTAGGGTTCGTTTCTATTTTCTGAACTCTCTTCGATGCGATGCGAGTGAGTCGTCGGCCACCGCAGTGGACAAGGAGGTGATGCCGGGAAGGGGTGGGGCGGGCGCCCAATGTCCCACTACCAGAGCAAATTGATTGGCGATGTGGTGGCCAAATCTTGTCACGCACATTTGTTTATCAGTTGTGTCCGTGTGTCTGTGTCTTTCTCTTATCTAACTCTGGCTCTCTCTCTCTCTCTCTCTATATATCTCCCCTACAATTGGCATGGAGGGTTGGGTTGTAAAAACGGTTTAGCTGGAAGAAAGTTATACGACTTCCCCACGATATAGCTAAGCACTATGTATTATCAGAGAATGTAAAGATCCTTGCTACATAATCGAAGGGGCTTCATGTGCCGCATATACCCCAAATATCTCGAACTTCTCTCAGAACAAAGAAAACGGCTTATATGGATCGATTCGAGTTGATTGCCTCGCACTAGCTGCGCGCATCTCTTTCTCTGAGTACTGCCCGCGGGCAGCCAAAAATCTCCTCGTGCGAGAGCCCCCAATATAAAGGCACGACAGACCGCACGGCGTGCCATTTGTTGTTGAGTCTAGCCGTCAACGAGAATCGTCAACGTGCGAATTAATTCTAATTACATCCTTTGCTTCGCCTAAAAGGTGTGTGTGAGTGCGATCGATCGCTGGGCGGCTGTCAGGCAGCATCAAGGATACTCAAACATACAGCACATATCCATGCGAGGAATATTTTTTTATTATTTAAGTGGATCTCAAAGAATTCTGCAAACAGGATCATTCATTCCATCCGCCTTCTGAAAGGGCATAATCTATTTTTGAAGTGACGATTAATCGGTTTGAAAAAAAAATTGGAACGAGACGAAAAAAGATCAACAGTCGCTTGAATTCCAATTAGTTTAATTAAATTCAATTTGGGTTCTTTGAACTTTACGCAAAAAGGACAGAGAAAGATCGAACAGCAAAGTACGGAAGAAAATTGACAGTGCCTTGTTTTTTGTTGGTTTCCAGATAATCAACTGCCAAGATGTGTGACGATGATGCGGGTGCATTAGTTATCGACAACGGATCGGGCATGTGCAAAGCCGGCTTCGCTGGTGATGACGCCCCACGTGCTGTCTTCCCATCGATTGTGGGTCGCCCACGCCACCAGGGTGTGATGGTGGGCATGGGTCAGAAGGACTCGTATGTCGGTGATGAGGCGCAGAGCAAGCGTGGTATCCTCACCCTGAAATATCCCATTGAGCACGGCATCATCACCAACTGGGATGACATGGAGAAGATCTGGCATCACACCTTCTACAATGAGTTGCGTGTGGCCCCCGAGGAGCATCCAGTATTATTGACAGAGGCACCCCTCAATCCCAAGGCCAATCGCGAGAAGATGACCCAGATCATGTTCGAGACGTTCAACTCCCCGGCCATGTATGTGGCCATCCAGGCCGTGCTCTCCCTGTACGCCTCCGGTCGTACCACTGGCATTGTGCTGGACTCCGGTGACGGTGTCTCCCACACTGTGCCCATCTATGAGGGTTTCGCCCTGCCCCATGCCATCCTCCGTCTGGACTTGGCTGGTCGCGATTTGACCGACTACCTGATGAAGATCCTCACCGAGCGCGGCTACTCGTTCACCACCACCGCCGAGCGTGAGATTGTGCGCGACATCAAGGAGAAGCTGTGCTACGTTGCCCTGGACTTTGAGCAGGAGATGGCCACCGCTGCCGCCTCCACCTCCCTGGAGAAGTCGTACGAGCTGCCCGACGGACAGGTCATAACCATTGGCAACGAGCGTTTCCGCTGCCCCGAGGCCCTGTTCCAGCCCTCCTTCCTGGGCATGGAGTCGTGCGGCATTCACGAGACTGTCTACAACTCGATCATGAAGTGCGACGTGGACATCCGTAAGGATTTGTATGCCAACTCTGTGCTGTCCGGCGGTACCACCATGTATCCAGGTAAGCTCTACTCAACCCATACCTGGAATTTATATTAATTTTTGGCGTTCGTCCTTCAGGTATTGCTGATCGTATGCAAAAGGAAATCACTGCCCTGGCCCCATCGACCATCAAGATCAAGATCATTGCGCCACCTGAGAGAAAGTACTCCGTCTGGATCGGCGGCTCCATTCTGGCCTCTCTCTCCACCTTCCAGCAGATGTGGATCTCGAAACAGGAGTACGATGAGTCCGGCCCCGGCATTGTTCACCGCAAATGCTTTTAAATCTTTCCCACGTCGCGAAAGATATCCAAAGGCAACAAACAACAGCAACAACACCGTCGGCCCTCACAGTGATACACAAGAGCAGCGATGCCATCATCGCACAATTATCATCCATTTCAGATTAATAACCGAGGCACAGGGACAACCTCCTGTTGCCAGAGCACATCCATCATTGAAATTAACTCTGCAAATAGCACCCCGAAGATTTGTATTGTGAAGAACTTTTGGTAGAAATCGTCGTTGTGTGTAGCTATCGTCAATGAACCACATCCAATGTATATCAGCAATGTGCTTTCAGCCCCTAATCAGTGTAATGAAAGCCAATTGAATAACTTCCATTAAAAATATGAAATACATACTTTAAATAAATAAATAAACACTTTTCTATTACCAGCCCCCGTGTACGTTCCGTACCCCACAACCCACAGCCCACAACCCACAACTGAAGGTGCAAAAACAAAACAGTTTTTGGTTGGTAAACAGCTTTTGAAATTCCTTTAATTCACATTAAATAATTTGTTAAAAGAGTTTTATTCGTATCAACTATCAATGAACTTAGAATGTAAGACGAAAGTATCCAAAACATACAGCGAGGATACTTAGTACCGGGACTTAGGCCATAGGGATATGAATTCAATGAATTCAACACTAACAAGTAAGAATGATTTACCCGCTAGTCAGATTTGTTTGTCTGTCACAATGTACAAGTGATTTCAATTTCAATTTGAAAAATATGAAACCCTATCACAAGGAGCAGCAGATGACAAGAGAAGCAGAATCAAGGAGCAGCGAAATAAATCAATGCTTGAGAGAGCACTCAGACGGACTGACATGGCTAGATGGATGCTTCTAGTGTACCTTTGCTCTGTTGAATCGTAAATGCCTTTTCTCGTTCTATTCTGCCTATTGCCTGCATCTATTCCCTGGCACGCTACGAGTACTCTGCGGATATAAAGTATAAGGTTTTTGGCAGTGATTAATATTTATTGAAACTGTTCGTTCAGCAGTGTTAGTCCGATGAATAATAGTTTTGGCTTGTGTTGGATTGGGTTTGATTTTGGGTTTTGGGTTTGGGCTTGGGTGTTTTGTCCTATATAAATATGAGTATTTCGTTTTAGTTACCATTATTCGTTAGCACCTAGCACAATTAATATCTCTAGGTATATATAACTATATCTATGGTAGATTTGGGTTACTTAACTAATTAATTGCGTAGCTTAACAAATACAATTATTGTACAGACCAGCATTGCAAGTATTGTAAGCATAAATAAGCGTTAAATGTATATGTATGTATCTATGTATACTATCTATTGGTTAATGTCCAACTTATGGATTGTATTTTGGTAAATTCAATCTTATCGAATAAATTATACATACGCTCATATTCCCCGGTATGTATTGATGTACATACATATGTATGTATGCATGTTTTTATGTATGTATGTTTGTACAATTCTTATTGCTTTAAATGGCCATAATGTGTATAACTAATTTCGAGCAAATTAATAATATATTTACACGCACGCTCCCATAAATATGTAGGTTGTATTGCAGTTAACGCTTTGTTCGGGCTCCTAACTAATATTCGAGAATACTTTTAACTTTTAACGATCGTCAGTGGGTGGTGGTGGCCTCGTCTTGTCCCCGTTTGAAACGGGAGGTCTATTCTATCGTTGTAGATGGCTCGGTAATGCTTGGCTAGGGTTAACCCTCAGAACCTTTTTGCAGCAGCAGGTGCGAGCTTCTCGTTTTTGGAACGGTAGGGCATTGCTCTGAAGGTTAACCTTCGTGGTCCTTCCCGGGACGAAGACCCGATTACCGATTTGGGAAGGAAAAACAAACTACCACTCACTTTTGGACCTTGGCCAGATCAATGGGGTTTTCGAACCATTTCGTAAAACCGGTTAATACTTTCAAGTTCTTGTAAATTCGGTGCATTTGATGCTGACAGATTGGCAGTGGAAGAAGAAGTCGAGCTGTTTAAATGCACAAGCGCCAAGCAACGGCTGGGTTCTACTTAGGCCCATACTTTGAACTGGCCAAGATCCGCTCAGTTGTCATCGGATCATCGCACATCGAGGTAAAGTCCCGCCGTTGGCGAAATGAAACATCCGCCGCAATAGCCACCACAGAATGCTCTTCGCGTCAGCTTCGCGCTGTCAAACTGCAATAGGCAGAGCAGAGATCGTTACAGACCGATGCGACATTGATGAGGATCAGTGACTACTTACCCCACTGCTGCGCTTCATGATCACCCTGTTGCCATGTGTGTTCCAAACGGTGCCGGGCCGCATGGCAAAGCCCGTACGCTCCAGATTAATGGAGAAATCTCCCTGCGGACACTGCATGTTGCGGTTGTAGCAGTCGCCCGCGGAGCCGAGTTTCTGCCGTTGACCCCGCGACTCGGCAAATTCGAAATCATTATCGATGATTCGCAGATCGGTGATGTTCAGGCGCAGCTTGCTGAAGTGCGTGCGCCCAGAGTTCTGGTCGTTGTAGTACTCGTGGGCCCGGGAGTCGGGCGGACAGCTGTTCATCAGTTTGGTCTTGTATTCGTAGTAAATGGAATAGTTCTCCTGCGGCTCCACGCTTATGTATTCGCGCGGCGTCCGTCTGTCCATGTGATGGCAGTAGATGCGCACCTGCTGCTGCCGCACCAGCAGCGTGTATTCGCCATCCTTGTACATGCCATACATGCGCTGCAGATCCAGGCAGCTCTGCGGTCCGCGGACACTCGCTACGCTGCTGCTGAGGCTGCTGCTGACACTGCGCCGCCTGCAGCTGGGCGGGGGCAGGCACTTGTGCTTCTGCGGCTTCGACCTCGTGGGACAGGCTATGCGACTCATTCGCGAGTCGTAGCAGACGACCTTACGCGTCTCGTAGCCATCGCAGTTGCACTACAAGAAGGGAGAATCGATGGTAGTACCTAAGGGTCTTGTACTTCCATGGGCTGTAGCCCTGCCACTTACCTCCGAGATGACCTTGGACTGCCGTCGCACACAGTTGTTGCAGATGCGACGCTTGGGTGGGCGCTTTCTGGCCACACAATGGCCCTCCTCTATGCTGTCGCCCTGCCAGGACTCACAGCGAACGTAGCGCGTTTGATATTCCTCGGAGCAGTCCGCCGGGCAAGTCGTCCAGTTTGAGGTAATCCACTTGCAGTTGATCTTGCACGTCTTTGTGGTTGTGCGGAGCGTTGGCCGCCGCACCTTTCGGCTAACACAGTACGAGTCATTGATGTACACCTTACGCTTGGGCGCACCCGGCACTTCAGGCTTGTACACACGTGTACAACGCTGCAGCTTCCGCTTCTGCCCCTCGCCACATTGCACGGAACACTGCGGAGATGAGAGGAGGATGAGATTTATATATATGTACTATATTATATGCAGCTCGACTCACCTCACTCCACTCGCTGGTGTATTTGATCTGGCAGCAGTTGCGCACCTCCTTGGGCTTACTGTTGCGGTCACAACCGAGGCGGTAGGGATTCGAACAGCTCACGGAGCGGCTCTTCTTGCACCAATCATTGCAGTCACCCCACTCTCCAGTCACCCAGTTGTTCAGCGAAATGGCGTTCTGTATGGGAATGAATGGGTTTGGGCATTAGCAGAGGTATCCACTGGAACTGGACACTCCTCTCTGATGTGACTTACCGGTGACTCTGTACGGACAGGACACGGCTCGGTGTTGCAGAAATGGAGCAGCTCATTGTACTGATGCTTCGTGCGAGGACTGCACAGATCGTCGCTGACGTGGGCATTGTCCAGATAACAACGCACTTCGCGCTGCTGTGTGCCTGTGCCACACGACTTGGAGCACTGCCATCCAATAAAGAGAGTGAGAGACATTCAATCAGTTGAAGAATGTAGGTTTTTGCAGGTACTACTCACCGCTGTCCATTCCGAATAGTTCCAGCAGCCCTCGCGGCAGTTCTCATGGCGTTCGACCTCAAACTTGAGCTTACAATAAGACATATCCACAATATTCGAACGCTGAATATCCGGGAATGTCTGTATGCAGTTGAAGTTCTTCTCGCGCGTTCCCAACTCCCCGCAGGCAGCCGAACACTCCGATATGCTGGTCACATTAAGGCTACAAAATGCACGGGAAACGAGGTTCATAGTGAAATCTAATTTCTAATCTAATTGGAAATTTCATGCACTTACGTTAGCCGACATTCCATGTTGCAGCTGCGATCCTCGACCTTGGGTCTGGCTGTGGCATCGCAGAACTGCGGCGCCACCTTCAGTCCCTGTGTGGTGCTAACGCAGGCCGGCTGACGATACATTCTGCCCTCGCAGAGCGAATCGCAGGTGCTCCATGCCTGCATTTCCCAACGATAGATCTCCACCTCCGCCGCCGCCTCAGGGCTCATCGGCTTGTCAATGGTGTAGGAGTACGAAATCAGCACTGTGTCGTGCTTCTTGGCCGGACTCAGGTCTATAGAAATGATCTGGCAGGCAAATAAAGCACGGTATTGATTAATACGCGATTTCCCATTGCACGGACTTCGTGTGTACCTCAACAACTAGATCACGCGACAGCTTCCATGAGTAGGTCGTGTTCACACGCTCCACTGTACTGTTGGAGCCGTTGTACTCTACCGTAACACCGGCATAAACAAATTTCAGCGAATATGTCTTGACCACGTCTCTGTTGAGGATTGGCGCACGCCTCTCATCGCTCAGCACAATGTAGTTCTGCTCGGGATAGCCAGGCTGTGTGATGACGATATTTGACGCACCTGTAAATATACAATAAAACTTTGTGTTGAGCTTTTCGAAGTTCGATATCGATATGCAAGATTTTTGATTGATATCAGTAGAACAAAATTTCTCCAAACGGATTGGCATCTCTCTCTCTCTGCAACTGAACACTCTCCAGTGCTGCAAAGTGTTGCAGGCAGGTGTTACAAAAAAAGTTTGAAGAAAAACTTCTGCTGTAAAAGTATGTAAAGTGCATCGCAGCCGAAAAAAAAATTCTAAATTCGTGCGCTGTGTGTGTGAGTGTGTGTCATTGATTATAGCAACGGCCTGGCCTGGCATTTAAGAGATTTCCAGTGGCGCCAGCTGCGATTTCCACAGATAGGCGATTTGTAATTAATGAGCGATTACGAACTGTGATGACCCCGGCAGCAGTCTAGAAATTTCCGCAGAGGCAGCAAGTTATGCGGCTCTGTTATCAGTGCGTACGTGCATCTCGGTTCGGTTCGGTTCGGTTCTGACTTGCATTCACCTGACGACCCGCAGATCCCCCCATTCATACTCGTATCAAGGGTTACGCGGATTGGGGAGCAGCATCGACAAACGAATGGGGCCAGCACATGTGCCATGGAGTGCGTATGTAAATTATTTTCAAATTAAGGCCAAAAAACATAAACATTTAACCATTAGCATTAGCATTTTTTTTCTTATGAAATTAGCCAAAAACATTTAATTATAGAAATGTTACTTTGTTTCTGTTTGTTTTTTGGTGCTGCGCTGGCAACAGCGAATACAAATTATTGTTGGGCAGGGGCGGGGAGGGTACACACCTTTTGGTATTGTCGTCACATAGTAGAGGGTCTTGGTGGGGTCTTTCAGTTTGAGCAGGTCGGAAACGTACAGATTTCCGGTAACTTCCTCGCATGTGTCGCTTTGCCCCTCGCAAACGCCGCATTTGTCTGTACGGAAATATGATTTGTTGTTGTTATTAGATTTTGTGAGCAGCTGACTAATGAGAGGGAGTGGAGTTCGGTACACATACCCAGCTTGGCAAACGAGTTTAGCTCATTGTCGCATCCCGCCGGCCGGCAGATGCCATTGACGCACTTGTCGAAGCTGTCCACGGTGCAGGTGGTGCCATCCACGACCTGTCTGTTCAGTTGGAAGAACGTGATGCTGTTGTCGACGCGGCAGAAGAGTTTGCACTGATTGGACGGTTCCCCTGTGGCAAAGGGCAAAGTCAGTTGAGATATATGCTTGATGTCCGATGCTTTGCAGGCGCTACTTACTGTCGTATTTGGGTATCCACTTGGAGGCTGGACTGATGCCCTGAATGTTAAAGTTTCTTCCGTTCATGTCGTAGCACTGCTGCTCGCGCGGATCCGGTGTGCCCAGGGGGCAGGGATGCGTGTTGCATGAGCGATACTTCTTGCGGCTGCCCACACAGTACTTGCCGCCGTCATCGGGCACCGGATCGTTGCAGTCGCGGTGCGACTCCTGCACGCCACCACCGCAGGTGAGGCTGCAGGGCGTGAACACCGTCCAGGGCCCCCAACCGCCGTTCACCGGGCGCAACAGGCCACCCTTCCGTGGCACACACTTGCCCTTTTGGCACCAGTTGCGGTTCTGGCTGCAGGGCGTGCCATCGGCCCAGGGCAGGTTGCTGGAACGGCACTGGTCGTGCGGATTCGTGTGCGTCCGGTTGCACCACAGCCGCTGGCACTCCGCCTCCATGGAGCAATGGGTGCTCTGGTTGCCGTAAATCAGCTCGCACTGGTTGTCCAGCGAGTAAATCTCACCGGGCAGCCGCTTCGTCTCATTGGGTATGTACGAGGAGGGTGTGTTCTCCAGACAGGACTTGTCCGTCTTCCTGCAGTTGATTAATGGCAGATGTTAATCGATTTTCCTTGCTTCGATTGATTCGTTTGATTCGTCTACTTACTCAAGGAACTCGGACACAAAGTGCTGAGAGCACTTGGACCAAGACCACGGATGCATGTGTATGCCCATAACGCTGGACATGATGTGCATTTCCTTGTTGCTGCCAGATTTAGTATTGTACGGCTGGCACTGCTTGTCATCGTCGTGCGGCATGTTCAGGCTATGGAAAGTGATTGTTGCTTTGTTGCAGAAATCTCTCTTTTGGTACAGGTAGATCTGAAGCGACTTACATGTGACCCAGCTCGTGGGCCATGGTAAATGCAGCAGGCAGTCCAGTGTCCTGGACAATCGAACACGATCTGGGATTGCAAACGGTGCCCAGCTCGGCCAGACCCAGCATATGGCAGCTCTTTCCGGGAATGCCGCCACAGATCGGCTCACTGCAATCGAAAATTTGTTGTAACTTTGTGTGAACCAGCTGACCTTCCCCGTCCTGTCCTCTCCAGTGGGCGGAACACTGTCTTACCGCGTTATCAGCATGGCCGTGTCGTAGTGGTAGACCTTCTGGTTGGCACTGGTCGTGCCGGTTCGTGTGCGTCTGGCAAAGGTGCAAAAGTGCTTGAGCATCTCGTTGCTGGAGTTGTGTCGTTCGTTGCTGTCGGGCAGCAGTATCAGGTTGACCAGCGAGATGCGAATCGAGTTGCCGATGCTGGCATCCTCGAAGATTTTCGAGACAATCGACAGCAGTATCAGAATGTACGGCGACAGATCGTCCTTGTGGAAACTGAGCATGCTCGAGTCGACGGCCACCAGCACCTCCAGCGTGTACAGCTGATTGTCCATGTCCGTGTAGTGGCGCTTGCGGCGCTTCAACTTGCGCGGCTGGCTGTCACGCAGCTGTCGCTCGAGTTCGAGCTCCAGCGGCTCCAGTGGGTCCAGGCCCAGCTCGAGCTCGGAGACAGCGTGTCTGGCATTGCGCTGCGAGTGTCGCCAGACGCGGTGCAAGACCTCGTCGCTGCTGGTCTGGTTGACCGGCTGAATGAGCAGTGTGCCGAAACTCGTTTTGATATAACCAGTCTGTCGCGGATTACGGTGGGGAAACGAAGGGAGTGGGGGTAATGGCTTATTAGTAGTCATATTCGGCGATATATTGATAAGCATAATTTGCGAAATGTAAATGCGATGCAAATGGCTTTGCGAAGGTCATTCTGTGCCACATGTTGGCCTTACCATGCCGCCGCAGAGCGAAACGGCCACCGCCGAGTGGGCGTCGCCTTCGACGTGGCCCTTGTAGTAGCAGCCCAAATAATGCTGCTGGTCCTGGTCCTGTTCCTGGTCGTCGGCATCGTCCGTCGCGGCGCCATCGGTGCGGTTGCTGAGTATACGAATCAGCGGTATCATATTGTGCGGTATGAAGGAGGTGTCCTGGTGCAGCACCAGATGCAGCCCGCGGCCAAATGCATGCAGATTGTACTCCGGATGTGGATCCCAGATCTGGTGCGACCTGCTGCGGAACGTGCCCGTCATACTGAATGCGGGCGATGTGTCTGCAAAGGATCAGAAAGGGATTCAAGTGGGTAAAATTGGCAGCTCCTCTCTCTGTCTCTCTCTCTCTCTCACCTTTAAGGAAACTATTTATGTCGTTGTTTCGCTTCGATTCGTAGAGCAAATCGTCTTCGTTGAGACTATAGTTGTAGACTTTGATGGGTATGACATAGGCACTGAGCTCCTCCCTGCCAATGTCCTCAAAGCCGTCCGCGTCGCCGTTGGCCCCAAATGTTTCGTTGCTGAATCGATCCGTGGGCGGATCCGTGACTGGGAATAGTGTGGGTGTGACTGCGGGTGGTGACTGTGCTGGCGACTGATTGCGCTTGGGCAGCTCCAGCCTGGCTTTCTGGCCGCTCGGCAGGCCGTTGTAAAAGAATATGAATAGTATGGCGGCCAGGAAGGTGGCCAGGCAGGCGTACAGGCAGGCGTGTTGTCGCCAGTGTGTGGACATCTTTTGGCTGCACTTGTACCGATAGAACCACCATTCACACCTCTTCTTCAGCACGAGCTGCAAGGGAATGGAGCAGAGGAAACAGTGGGGTTAGTCTGGAGCTGTGATCTGGGCACCGTTTGTGCTGGCTGTGCAGCGTGGAGTGGCAGCATTCTCTCACACCTTCGTGGCGGATTTCGATTAATGGGTGGCTAGAAAGCTGCCCAGATAAGTTCTTGGGCACGTTCCACTGCCCCAACGGCCTATCGTGGCGGCGGGGGCTGATTTGAGTGATTGACTTTTGAAAGAATTATTGATGAACTGCCGCTGGCGGGCCAAAAACAAAAAAAAAACTCGTACCTTGACCACCTGTGAGATACGAAGATCAGACAAATGCAGAGGCAGAGGTAGCAGCCCCCGGCGGCTGCTGGCCTTTGGCTGCAGCCCGACCGGCAATACAAATTTTTTGCACATTTTGTTTAAAGCAAAATGCTCAAGCGCCGAGGTGTAAAGTGTGCCAGCGGCAATTTGTGTGTGTGTGTTCAGACATTAAACAAAAGCAAAAAAAAAAAAAGACCAAGTACCCCGCAAGCCAAAAAAAAAACAAAAAAACCAAAAACCAAATTTTAAATGCCTCTAATTTGTAAATTTATGTGAGAGCTCTTTGTTGGCACCTCTGCGATATTGCCGTAGACAATTCATGTATCAGCGCAAATAAATTAAAATTCCCCCGCGAAATTAGCAAATTAATTCCGCTAAATGACGAGCTATTTTACATAATTTTATGGCAGCTCTATGAACTCTGCGACCGCCGACGCATTTTTTATGCCCCCCCCCATGCCCATGGCAAATATATTGTCTCGTCTCAAGACGAGACGATTTGCTTGCCAAAAATAACTATGGATCAAAGAACACTGATGATCCGAATGGGATATCCAACGTGGAGCATGTGATCACATTTTCTAAACAATTTTTGCGGTTTCTAGAGTAGATTCGAATTTCGTAGACCGCAAATAGAGGAACTATTTCGAAATCTATGGCAATACTACCACATAGACGAGATCTTAATTACGGCATAAAACCTTCAACTTGTCCTCCAAACTGTCAATAGTTATTGACCTCTGCGCAGTGCCACCGAAAGTCGAAAAATTAGTTTTTATTGAAAATTGCTCAAAATGATGCGCCATAAAATTCGAATTAAGTTTAATGCCTTGCGGCCGCCCTGTGCTATAGAGTTGAGACGGTTTTAACGACCGACCAGAAGATAATCCCACCCGTGCCCCAGCTACAGATAGTGTCAGTTGGTGAAAGTCACGTAATTGATGAGGAACTACCGCATTTCATGCGTAATTCCAGCTTCAGATAATACGTATGTATTTATGAATGAAAGACATATATATGGTCATGCTGTAGCTTATCTAAGCGTTGGCAGATATCTACGAGTGCTTAGCTTGATTGCATACTTTTCTGGGCGTGTTTGTGCCTTTCATTCTGGGAACTTCAAGATCTGTTTGGACTACAGGAGCAGTCAACGTTTGCACTGTCACTGGGCGGGTGGATCTCTGTTTGCATGAACCGCTTTCAGAAGAGCAGTTTTATCGGTCAAGTCATTCTGTGGATGGATCGATAACGAGTCCCCCCTGCTCACGACTGTTTGGTGTGAGGCTTATCGTAAATTGTATACAGTGCTTAAATGCCTGTGCGCAGCGATTTGCAATGCAAATCGCGCATGCCGCAGATGCCCCAAAAGATAAATACGGCTCCTCAAGCTCGGCTCTTTATGTATTTAATTAAAGCGCCGTTCTGGCGAACTCTGTTTTTTTTTGTTTTTTTTGTTGTTTTTTATCTCTCATTTGTTAGTTATGCATGCGTTGGGAGAGCTGCTTATTAACTTGTTTCGTGGCAGCCTTATAAATATGCAAATGCAATGCGTATGGGTGCCTTCTGCCGCCGAGTCGCTTCAGCCCCTGGATGTGCCTTTGCCTCTGGCTTTGCCGTTCTTCTTTATTTTAGGGTCTGTTTCCACTCTGCTTAATTTATTATTAAGGCGAAGTGGTTGCTTGGCTGGGCTCTGACTAATTGACCAATTCGATGGGGGGGCAGTGGCAGTGCCAGAGAAAGAGCAATAGCAACAGCAACAGAGAAGCATCCACGGACAAACCTGTTTACACCTGACTGGGAATGGAAACAAACAAGCAATTTGTGTGTCAGCCGATCGCTTTATATTGCCGTATGCTATAATTTATGCCAATGGCCACAAAACTCTCTGGCCGACACACTGTCTGCATAGCCGCGGCGTCGCTCAGTCTGTCCCCGTGAGCGTCGTGAAGGCCGCCTGGGCACGCAGCATCGACCTGGGGGCCCCCGCCCCCACGCTCTTCATCGACGATTCGTCGATTCATGTAAGCCACCTTTTGGCCGTCTAATTGGCTGGTTCGACGAGGTGTTAAGTGTCTGCGTCGACGACTGGGACTGGGGACTGGAACGAACGCGAATGCGTGCGGTCACAGGTCTGGTCGAACAACGCGGCGTATGCGCAATATTCACTTAATTACACGACTAGTCGCTATGGCAGAGTGTGCTGAGGCAGCAATTGTCGCTGTTAATTTGTATTTAATGACTTAATTGCATTGCTGCTGAACAAAACAGGCGCCCTGCGTCGCATTTTGCCCACAATGTGCGTTTGTTTTGGCATTTGCGCATGCGCTCCACGAACCACATATGGAAACGATCATAAAAATGGGGGAACGCAACTACAAATTATCAAATTAGCAGCTACATATTTGGGATAAATCACTGGCCCCGAGAATTCAATAGTTGAATGCGCGTCATTTGATTTCGATTTGGTTTTGAATTTGGATGTGGATTTGAATTTCAACTGCAAATTTCGTGGGGGCGTTGCTCGTGCTCTCTCACAGTTATTTATATCCCGCCGCCCATTCGAACCTTATATGTACGAGTGTGCAACATGCAACATGCATTTTGGCTAATTTTCAGTTTGTATTTGGGGCGAATTTGGGGCGCGTGTGTTTATAGCGAATGATAAATAAACTTGTAGACTTTATGGGCGTGCTTCTTGGTGCCGTTATGCATGCGCGATGCGTGACTGCCGCAAACAGAATCGAAAACTCTATTGAAGGCACGCCAATTGGGGAATTGTCTTAAATACACCGGTCAAGCAAACATTCGCAAACACCGAAATTAGTTGGAATCGCATTGGTCAATTTTCAATTTGCAGCCGAGCATTTCGCTGGAAATGTTTTTCACATTTTCCTTTTTGAGGCAACGATATGGGCGAGCGTAGGGGGCATGGACCACAGCCCTTGGAAACGGGCAAACAGACATTTGCCAAGACGAAAACAAAAACACAAAATCCGAAAGAAAAAAAATCACCGTTAGGCAGCCAGAAGAAAATAATGAAAACATGCTCATAAAATCTGTTTCTGTGTACTTCATTGGAAAAGCCAATGCCTACGAGCCGAAAATTGGGAAAAACTCTTGTCATCCGGTGAATCCCCCACGCGTTAGCCGTTAGATCAGCGACCGAATATGACCTCATGCTGTCATGGATGCAGCTACAGATCTACAGATATATATACATATGTGTAAATACATATATGTACATGTGCCCATAGTGGCTAAAAATGCATTGGGCAGTGCAATGTGTATCTAAATTGAAATCAGCATTCAACTGAAGTGCATTTACAACTTCAATATTCACAATTGAAAGCCATCATCGCAAATTCAATCAATTAACCTTGGCCAAAAATATAATTGAAAATGGGCTAGAAAATGCATTAGACATCGCTTGTCTGGGTTGCCTTATTGGCAGCTTGGCTGCTTGTCTGGGTTGCCTGGGGTACTTGGGCGTCTGGTGGCATGGATGGTCGCCCGACTGGCTGGCCATCGCCTTCGTCTGCCATATGTTTGCCGTATCAAGAGCATCAGCAATAGCCCAGGGCCGCCCGTAGTGGGAGGCAGGAGGCTCCATTTGTTTATAGGCACGGGCCTCCACGCACAGCACATGGCGGGCCGAAGAAGACGTCTGGGCCCCCTCGACACCCAACACAATTTCGCCGAGTTAATTATTGCGTGTGTTAACCTTGAAATTAACTGGTATATGCATGCATACATATGTGTGTATATGTGTGCGTATATATTTGTATATTTCGATCGTTTCAAAACTATAAAATAATCAACATTGTTTAGCTTTCGTTTCATAAAATTTTTGCACAAAAAATAAAAGAAAACTGGAAAACAAGAAAAAAACTGCTGCCCCCTGCCAGCTGCCATTTACCAGAGCGCGAGCATATAGGCAGCATTAAATGTAGAAAATATCGGAAATGCTGTTGCAATATGCAATTTAATTCAGCATTTTGCATACAAACTTTGCTATGTGGTGCATGGGATTATTTATGCACTAATATATGCGTGCACTCTGGATTTGGAGCATAGTTTGCTCCACTGGTGATTCAGTTTGCCTCCTTCCTGGCAGTGCCTGCAGCATCATCCAAAGAGCATCGTAAAGATTTTATGCGCCATTAAACTGCATCTCTGGCCATTCGATTGCGGTTTTTGTCATTCGAAAATGTTTATTCTGGGTTAATTTAATACATGCCTTAATGGGTTCGCCTTTTTGATTTATTTGGCACACTTTTGTGAGTGGCAAAAAAAAAACACACGGCGTACATTGCGTATGCGCAATTTTGCAGCGCATGGCGAACGCGAGGCAGTCGATTTTATATGCACGACAGCACGTACACAGGCAGTATGTTTTCTCAGTCTGATTAGTTGATTAATTAGTGAACAATATTGATTGCTGAATGGGAAATTACGGCTTGATGACCCCGCCACTGCATGGGGACTTGGGGGGGTTGATGGTTTGCCGATAAACTTGTTATGAAACATACTTCCCATCTCAAACCTTGATTCGGCGAATGGAAGGAGCGTAGCGCATTCGGCGTGTCATTCAGCCTTATGCGTTCCCAACACATTCTCACGTTCGATTTATTTATTTTATGTGCAGTTTGGTTGCCCACGCCGCTGCCACAAACATATAAATTACAAATATTTATTTG